TAATAATAAAAGTTTATTATTGAAAAAACAACACACACAAAGTACCGAAAATTGGTACCGTTAAGTACCAGTACCGATTCCCAGGTACTGGATATTGGTACCGAATCAATTCGAATGTAAAGGTACCCATCTCTAGTTATAACTTAAGATGTTTGCTAAGGTGGATCAGCTGTGGGAACCATCTTGAGTTAACTCGTAAACATGATCCATTTCAGAGGTGTTTGGGGGAATTTTGTTTAAATCCACTGGTTCAAGAGATATTTTGCTAACAGACAATCACACACAGAATTACATGATCATCCACTGGCAATAAAATATGTACATTTTCTCCTAAACGACACTCAGTTGTGTATGTTCATCTCCACTCCTCACCCTGTGGTTAACATATGTTCAGTTTTTATCTTTCATCTTCACACAGTTTTAATAAACTAATTCATATTTCTTTGTATGTCAAAATAAACTATTTGTCCCGCGTGGCGCTGCCCACAGGGCCGAGGCCAAGGCTGAGGTCCCGTAGACCCAGAACTGCTCCACAGAGGTAGTCTCTGGGTTGTGTGAACAGTGTTTGCATGGTGTTAACGATCTGAGTTCATGTTTCTCTTCATTTATCTCTYAGGCCTTTCTGAAATGTTACCTTTCGTCAGTTTTTGAATTTTCCAATTCTTCTGGACTTTTTATTTATTTATATGTTTTTTTTTGTAGGTGGACCAATTTGAACTGCTGTACTGACCTGGTGTGTTCACTGTTTGACTGTAGCTCCTCAGACTGTTGCTTAGCCTTGTGTGTGGTGTTCGTAGAGTTGTGTTGGAGCAGAGCACACTGGTTATTAAACTACAAAGACACTATTAGATATTTATATAAGTTTTAAGTAAAATGAATAATTCACACATTTTTGACCCAAAACCATAAATTCCTGATGCTGACTAATAAAATAGCTACTAAACATTGGATAGAAGTGCTAAAATTAGCTCTACTTGTTAAAGCATGTTTTATTAAGTAAGTGAAACATCAACAAACATCAGTGTTCAGACACCAAAATAACTCAAAACAGAAAACAAGTATGAAACAAACAGAATAATTGTGTTTATTTTAATTATAAACGCATTGAGCAAACTTTAATTAAAATTACACATTGAAGTGTGATGATAACTCGACAATTAAAGTGACTGAAGTCAGTGGTGACGATGCAGGAGCCGTTTGGGGTTAAAAGCGTCTGAATTGTTTTTTGTATTGTTTTGTATTAACGCTCAGATTTGTTGAGTAAAATAAGCAAATAAAAAGAAATGTTAGGTTTAAACAAGGCCTGTCACGATAACAAATTTTACTGGACGATAAATTGTCTCAGAAATTATTGCGATAAACGATAATATTGTTGGAGACCATTTTAAACTGATATAATGATATAGGAACCCTGTTTACGTAAGTTTACATTAAAAATGACATAGTGTAAAAAGAAAAAAAACAACTGTCGGCAATCCCAAGGCGTCACCAGCTCTATGAAGGCGTCAGAAAACTGAAGATGCTCCTTTACATAATTTCCCTCTGGGATCAATCAAGTATTTTTGAATTGAATTGAATTGAATTGGCTAAATGCCTGTTCACGAGCGTTTATGCTACAGAGGTTAGGAGCCCATGCACCTGGCAAACACCTGACGCCACAGTTCACTCCACTCTGCTCTAAGAAGTAAAAAAGAGGGAGACACTAAGAAAACACAAAAGCAGGCAAAAGAAAATTGTCTTCATTTTAATTTATCATACGATTAATTGATTTATTGTTTATTGTGACAGGCTTAGTTTAAACAGTGAACTTATCTGGTCAAGAATCTGTGCAAAAGCTGCTTGTTTCAACTCTTTTGCATTTAGTTTGGTAGGTTTGTTTACACTGATTGCGTACCCTCGTTTCAGAAATACATCTCAACATTTCTTCAGAACTACGGCAGTGAACTCTTTCAAAAGGCACCATTTGATATAATAACATTTTTGTGTTTGATGTCATAGTTTGCGATGAGTAAAGTTAAATTAAGACTACATTAGCTACTTATTTCATAGATATTAGCTATTTAGAACCAGAGTGAGCCGGTTGTTTTTATTGTGGCGTCAGCAGAATTCGCAACAAAACAAATCTAAATGTAGCTCGTTTTTAAAGGAAGCTGAAGAGGTGGATGTTTCACATTCTGGACCTCTTCCTTCATAAAACCTGCTYTTAAAAGTCGTGGAAGGAGAACGAGGTCTTTTGCGGCTTCTTTCGTTTCAAGTCAGTCAGAGGAGCTGTAAGGGTGGGCAGTGGTGGAAAAAGAGCACATCTGTGTTTTCAGTTCCCGGGGAGGTCTTGGAGTGGGCATGGGAACGTTTGGAAAGGTACAGCGCAGGTTTCCCTGAGGGGGGAGAGTTCAAACCGGAGCACATCCTCGGGCTCCTTCAGAACCAGCAGGTATCCTGGAAGAAACGTCGCTGAAAGAAGGGCATTTTTGAATTCTACCGACTTTTCTCTCCAAGTATTTATTTATTCAGCTCTGTCATCTCTCTGACAGACATCATTTTTCAGAGCCGAGAAGTTTTCAGCAAACTTAAAAAGTTCATGGAAAGGTTCTGAAGATATTTATTTCTCTTTACTTGGTCCGAATTTCATCTGGAAGTCAAATTCATACCCATTAAATAAAATCATGGACGCTGCAGAGTAGATCGAGCGACGGTGACGATTTTTAAAAAATGGCTGCGTTAAATGAGTTATAAACTTAAACTGACGTCTCGAAGTGGCGGTCAGCGTCCTCAAAGCTAACGTTATTTCATGGTTGCTGCCACGGTGATGAGACGGGAGGGAAATTCATGGTTGCGTGTGCGTTTGCGTGTAAAATGTGGCAGGGACTTAGTTATTTTTGGTCACGGGAGGAGAGGAGCCGTGACGGCGTGTGGTCTCAGAACAGAGGATCCAGTCTTGGTCGTGGACGGGGGCGGGGGGGTGAGGGGTTATGAGGCGAGGAGAGGCCAGGACTGCGGTGGGGGTGAGGAAGAGTTGACTATGGATGGACTGTTACCCTGCAGGCAGTTTCTGACCTACAGTTTGCTGAAATGAATGTCAGACCTTTGGTTCTAAACTCATTTTCCTTTTGACTCCTGAAGCAGAGATTAATTATTTTTATTTAATTTTACTGTGTGTTGAAGGAAAAGCATTAAAAAACATAAACTACAACTCTACAACTATAAATATGACAGTAGTCTGCATCAGTGCTGTGTGGTTGTAGGTTATAGAGAAATGTTCCCTTTTAAGCTCCGCTCTTGTTCTGCTCWTTTTAACTCTTCTCTTTTGTTTTCCAGTCTAAACGAACGGGCCCATCTGCTGACAAGAGTCTTTAGGAAAACACCTTCAAGTGTGGGACGCTCGAACTCGGTGCAGCAGACCGTGACACGTGAGTCTCCTCGCTCCTTATCTGATTCAACAGGAGGCTTGAAGGGATCGTTTCGTCGCACCCCTACTTCAGTCGTGTTTCATTGAGTGACGTGTGCAATGTTGGGTTCTGATACAGCAGTTTTTTTCATTAAATTTCATTCAAGGTGGCATTAAAAAAGGTCTTAAAGCGAACAAAGATTAGTTGTAACATTAGACTTTGTTTGATAAACATTTATTTTAACTGTAAAAAAGACTGTAAAAATACTGTAGGCTGTTAAGTTTTGTAAAGTCTTAAAAAATATATTACACAGACGGAGCCATTTTATTTGCACACAAAGCATTCTGGGTAAATGATGACGTGGATAGGTCCTCGGTGCGAGTCTGCTAGCGAGCTATATCCACCCTGAA